GATGGCGGCTGCCTGTGTGGCGACCCGCGACCATGGAGATATAAACAGCTTTTTATAAGGTAAAAATAATAAAACCCTTGTTTTATTATTTGTCTGCAATGATTAGACATGTTTTTTTATTATTGTCATTAGCGATTATCTCAATTTCGGCTAAAAGAATTGACAAAATCCTACACACTGTGCCTTTGAGGTGGAAACATGTTACTTTGGTTTTAGCCATGCTAATATTAGCATTTAGCTCATCCTTCAAGTCAGAATAACTTTTTCAAACCGAGGTTGTTCAAGGTATTTTCTACAACAGGTAAGATGATTAATTGTTTACAACCTTTCAACTAAACCTCACGACAAATGAATTGAAATATTTAAATTTGTAAAACCATACCTCTTTGTGTCACTGAGGCTTTTGTTTGTTGTGTATCCACTGGTGGATGGGTTCTGTGATTCGTATTTCTATTTTTAATCCGAGTTTAAAATGTAAAAACACACTCCTGTGAGTGGAGCTTTGTTGGGCGTTAGTCATTAGGGAGCAGTGACAGGTATTTAGTGTTTATGGTTCCTGTGTGTTGAAGGATGGACTCCTTCCCTCAGGAGAGTATTGTGTTTCTCTGCAGAGGCCTCATCTGGCGCTGACTGACAGGAACTAGATGCCTCTGGAGGATTCCAGATTATCACAACTTCTGCTCTAATTGTTTAAACGGAACAAGGACGATGGGCTGGATGCTCTACCTTATTTCATGCTCCTTGTTGGTGTCGATGATTTTGTCTCCTTTGATGGAGGAGCCATCTTTGGTCCAGACGACCTGAGGGGGAGGGTACGCCTCGAAGTCCACTCTCAGCTTCACGTTCTCCTGAAGCTTGGCTGAAATGTTCTGATGCAGCACAGGCTTCACGTCCACAAAACCATGTTCTAATAGAGAAAAATACACATCCGTAAACTTCAGTTACAATAGTCTGTTCAATGTATACACTGCATTTGATGGATCTACTGAAATTAACATAAAAACATTTTAAATGTAAGCTGTGTTTTCCTATTTCATGCTTCATGTATCATCAGTTACTGAATGAAAATCTGCTAGTGAGTTTTCACAATAAGAGCTTGAACTACATTGATTTTCTCTTGATGTTGGATTCAGAAGGGCCGGAAAACAATAACACTAATATTCTACGTCTACAGCTGGTCAAAACAAATCCAGGGGTTTAGGGGAACATCTGGCCCATAAGTCTGTTCACATTTCATGTCCGAAAGTGTTTTTATGAGAAGCAAAAAAGGACAAACAGCTGCACCTATTTGAGTCAACTGATGGATTTCTYCACAAGTTCTCTTTAGGGTCTATTAAGACCAAAGAAACCACTTGATGTGGGAGTTAAAGTCATGATTTCATTTTTTTAATGAAATACAGCAGATAGCCATGTTTTTGTTCATGTTTGAGAATTTGCAGCCACAACACGTGTCTTTTCCATTAACATGTTCAGTAGAAAACCCTCTTCTGACCTCCAGTCTCCATCAAACATGGGGGTTCGAGCTATTTAAAGGGTTTTCTAAACAGAACACCCCTCAGTGCAGATGGAGTAAGCCTTCACAGACCTGTAATGACTACAGTGGTGGGGACAGAGCATGGAAGACTTCCTCATAAGGAGGAATCCTGCTCTCGCTCTGCTGTGTGCTCGTGTTTAAACACAAATCTAAGTTACACAAACACATGGTCACCTAAGAGGCTAAATATAAAGCCGCTGTGATTCGCGGGTGTTTTTATTTAAGTTTATCACTCAGGGGTTTCACACTGAGGTTTGTGTCACATAATCCACAGAAACTCAAAATGGATCTTTCTTTCCTTTTAAACACAGCTTTCATCCCCACATGAACGCCTCAGTGTTAACATAAAAAACAGTCTTCTCTATATTAACTTTAATAATAACAATAATCTGCAGACAATCAGTGTGTTTGCTTTCTTTTTGTGTGTTTGTGTGTCTGACCGAGCACGGTGATGTTGATGCTGGTGAAACTCATTTGGCCGTAGACCTCGGAGACCTCGCAGACGTAGGTTCCGCTGTGGGCCACCTTGACATGAGGGAAGAAGAAGCTGGAGTACACGACGGACGAGCCGTACGTCACAGGTTCGACCTCAGGAGAAAAGAAAACAAAGACATGGAACGTTTTCTATCACGAAGGACGTCGTTGAACTATATGCAGGTCAAGATTTGCTCAATAAAGCACGACTTTGGTGTTTTAGACGAACATCATCTTATGTCGAGAAATAATGGAGTTTTAGCTGTTTATGGTCAAGACTTAGAAATAACTTCATGTGCAATCTCATGTACCAACCCAATGACTCTCAGCTACTTTGATGTTGACTCCAAAAAGTTAAGGGCAAACTTTTAACCAAAGATCCGATGCACTCAGCTAGTGCTAGCCGTTTGTGTTGTGGCTGACTGTAAGTATTACCACACCAAATATTAGGTTTATGTCTGTGAAATTTACTAGGTCATAGTTATTTTTGTGTGCTCTTTTTTTAAAGGTCAGTTGGCTTTGGCAGCCATCTTGAAATGGACTGACTCCAAAAGTTAAGTCACTTGTAGATTTACATCCAGTGATTACTTTTTTTTGCAAGTTTCATTAAAGGGATCCCCGATTAGTTGTAACATTCGACTTTATTTGATAAACATATATTTTAACTGTAAAATGAAGACTGTTAAAATACTGTAGGCTGTTTAGTTTTTATAATTTTTAAACTAAAAGTTTAAAAATATATTACACGGACAGGCCCATTTTATTTACACACAAAGCATTCTGGGTAAATGATGACATGGTGTGAGGCTGCTAGCGAGCTATATCCATACTGAAGGTTAATCTTGGACAATATCTGATGATTGACTCTTTTAAATGAAACCAGAGAGCGTTGACAGAGAGGAGAAGGAAGAAATGACTCAGCCTGGAACTGAAAATATGGATGGAGGACAACAGAGCTGCTTCATGGAAGAAGAACCTCAGCTTAGCCTGTTAGTTTTAACGTTAGCCCCGACACTATCACCATATATATGTATTAGCTCAGCGCTACACATTCTCCTCTCGTCACTGAAGTCCTCCATCCACATGACAGAGAGGGGAACGTAAAAATGACTGTCTGCAACTGAAAATATGGATGGAGGACCTCAGTTTAACTTGTGTGTCGCGCTAGCGCCGAGCTAATACATATAAGGCAATATAGCATTGGCGCTAGTGTAAAGGCGAGGTTCTTCTTCCATGAAGCAGCTCATGTTGTCCTCCATCTATATTTTCAGTTACAGGCTGAGTCATTTCTACCTTCTCCTCTCTGTCAACGCTCTCTGGTTTCATTTAAAAGAGACAATCGTCAGATATTGTCCAAGATTAACCTTCAGGGTGGATATAGCTCGCACGCACCACGGACCTATCCACATCATCATTTACCCAGAATGCTTTGTGTGTAAATAAAATGACTCCGTGTGAATATGAATTTTTTTTAATTTACAAAACTAAACAGCCTACAGTATTTTTACAGTCTTTATTTTACAGTTAAAATATATGTTTATCAAATAAAGTCTAATGTTAAAACTAATCGGGGATCCCTTTAAAATTAGTTTTTTGGTACATGAAATATTTTGTTAACAAACAAAAACACAATCGCCCGTCTATTATAATAATAATAATTTAAAAAAGCCTCAAGAAGAAACAGATCACTTGGTCCAATCCCCACGCTGTTCGTATTGTTAAAACAAGTTCACAGGAGGATACAAATCGAGGTGTGTCTCCACATCTTGATATAATTTGGGCCCGGCCATGAGGCCGAGCAGGGATTACAAAAAAGGGGGGAAACAAAAGCGCTTGTTCTGCCTCACTCCCACTCACCTCCCTGTAGGGGACATCCCAGATAAACAACACCAGGTCGTGTCCGCGCACCGTGCAGTTTACAGTCAGCGCTTCTCCCTGCTTCAGGACCGTCTTCGAGGCGCTGATGTAAGGGTCGAGCTCATCAGAGGCTGGGACGAGGAGAGAGACGATGGACACGAGATGTGACAAAGCAGAGTGCAACACGCTGACCTCAGTCATCATCAATCTTTAAGTAGTTGCAAAAATAAACAACATCTGAATCTAATAAGTCAAAGCTGAATTTGACCTTTGATCTCTTCGGTTCACATTTCCATAAAAGGGCAAATTGCTCTTTGATGTTTTTTTTTCTTTTTGTACTGAAAAACACTTGTTGCTTTCAWACATATTAAAAGACTAGCATTCCTTAAAGGAATGCATATCACCCATCATCTTTCAGGGTAGAGGTTTAAACTAAAATCATAAGAAAACAACAACAGAGTTCAAGTCAAACGTTGTAAATAATGATCAGCACAGTCTCACCAGATGCAACAGTGTATGTGCTGGCGATACATCTCAGCTCCCACCAAGCTAAATTTTAGCCCATTATCTGTAAAACTAACTGGGTTATAACATTTACGAGTCAAACTGAAGGCCTATGGGCCAAATCTGGCCCTTGGTAACAATGACAGAAATTGGCCCTTGGCTTGGATCAGAATTTGAATTTTGGCCTTATTGTGTTACTGAGTTTGACACCCCTGTTTTAGAGCCACAAAAACATCATCGCCTTTGGCCTTAGGCCTTTGTTGGTGGATAATAAACAAGAAATCATGAGCTCAATAAGGCTTCATCTCTCAATCTTTTCACCAGTCAATAAATTTATAACAAAAATGCTGTGATCTCATTAAATACACAATGTATACCAAAAAAATACATATTTTTTCTTTTGTTGTGCTCTGTTAGAAAGAGATGAATTATTTTTCATAGTTTGGGTGTTGACTGAGATTGAATGTAAGACTGTTTAACTCTGTGTGTGTGTGTTCCTCTCTGAAGTTACTGTAAATATGATTACCAAACCATGACTCTAGGCAAACTCTTTGACCTACCATAAATAGTGATGACGTTAAAAGCCTCGGAGTCTTTCACCTCCCCGTTCAGCTCCCCACGACACACGTATGTCGTGTCCTCCAGCAGTGCCTTGAACCCCTCGGTGGGATCATACAGGCCTTCAACGGCCTGGTCGTTGCCCTGCTTATACAGGGTGACTGTGATGTTCGGATTAGTAACCACGCATGGAATGATGCCTTCTTCACTGGTCCTTGCCACCATGCCATGAGGGCTTTTTACAAACCACACCTCAGGATCTGCAGCGAGACACGATTCAGCATTTTATTTTTTAATGTTAATTTTTGTTACAATCTAGCTATGTTTGCGTAACTTGTGTTATTTTAGCCATTCGTCTTTCAAAACGTTCGGCTCATTTAGAAAGTTGTCTAGTATGACTTGAGTTTTGTAACCTTCATACTTTTCAGTACATTTAACTTTATTTACATATAATTTCTCCATAGAAATACATTGAGATGTCTTCAGTTATTGCAAAAAATTATCTTCGAAATCAGTTTCAGCATTCATGCTCTGTTTTTTATACACCTTTTACTGTTTATCTACCATTTTTCTATTTTTAGCTTCTAGCTAGCCTTTAGCTACATATAGTTTTTAACTACCCGTAGCCTTTTGCTACTAACATTAAGCAAGAATTTTTGTCCTTTTGGCTAGCATTGTCCTTTTCCCTTTTCCTTTTCCAGTAGTTTTTCTTTTTAGTTTTTAGCCAGTGTTCTGCTTCTTTAGCTTGTACTTTGCTTCTTAGCCAATGTTTTGCTTCTTTATAAAATTTTCTGCAGCCTTCTCCTTTTTTCTTTAGCCTTTTCAGTAGCAAGTGTGTTGCTTCTTTTAGCTAGTGTTTTGCTTTATTTTGCTAGTGATTTCCTTTATAAACTGTTCTTATCCCTTTAGCTAGCATTTTGCACCTTTTAGCTTTTGGCTAGTGTTCTCCTTTTTTCTACAGTTTTCCAATAGTTAGTGTTTTTCTTTATAGATTTTAGCCATTCTGCTCATTTTAGCTGGCATTTCGCTTCTTTTAGTTTTTGGCTAGCATTATTTTTTTCTTTAGCTTTTTCTAGTAAAAAGTGTTTTTATTTTTAGCTTTTAGCTAGTGTTTTTGCTTCTTTTATCTTCAACACCTTGAGTTCTGCTTCTTCAGCAGGTTTCAGGGAAGTAAATCAGCTCCGAGCATTCACACTGCATCATCACAAACAGTGCAGTTTCATGCAGTGTAACGTCAGGCAGCATTATAAAATGAAACTTGAAGGTAAATGAYCCGGGCCTCACCTGGAACAAACACCGCTGTCTCCTTGGTTTCCCCAGATTTTAGATCTTGGCACTGATACACACCAGTATGCTTCCAGCTCACATTCCTCAGCGTCAGAACACTTGATACGTCGCTTTTCACAATTTGGTACCCCTGATGACCATTTTCATCTTGCTCACTTAGATAGGCGTCCATGTCGTCCCTTTTAAATTCCCAGCTCTCATTGAAGCCGGAGCAGGTAAGGGTGAAAGTGGCGCCTCGGGTCAGGACAAACTCGTTGGCATCAGGTGTGATCTTCAGGCAGGACACTTCAGTGCAGAAATACACCAAAGCTGTAATTTGCACACCATAAAACAGTCATTGAGGGGGGAGTGAGAGGTGGATGGAAGAGTTCAGGGGTTATATCAACAAACTAAGTCAGATCCTGTTCTATTTCAAGCTGGTGAAGGACATGAGTTGTCTGGAGCAGATGAGTAGAGTGGAGCATCAGTGACACAACAGGACCTCAAAATAAAAGAGGCCCCTCTAAATGCATCTTTTTTATTTAGTGCACCAAACCACTGTGTTATCTTACTACTTGTTTAAAACAGTCTGAATTTATCTCTATAATTAACACAATATTATTAAATTACACATTTCAGAGTGCAACTTCTTATTAATTCTGAAGCAAATTTAAAAAGAAAATAATATTTAGATSCTTTCGAATTAATAAATTTATTGGCTTAACGCTCTTCTGCAGTCCTAACTCTTTCTATACGTTTTCACTTTTTGTTTAAAGCATGGAATTAAATTCTCACCTGTAAAMATAGGCGTCAGGTGGAGCACGAATGCTGACACCTTCCTCATGGCGGCTGCTTTCTATGACCACGTTATTCTGCAGACAGATGATGCAAACGCAGAGAAACATCAATATTTTAAAGAAATCTGTCTTAGTTAACAGTTATTAGTAAAAAATGTAAATCAAAGTTTAAAAAAAACAATGGAAAATAGAGTTTTGGCTCCTTTTCCAAGTGAATGTCTGTACGTGAGGGAACATGATGAACTTAATCTGACAGATCAACTCCTGCTTTCATCAGCTCAGGTTGGTTGGTGTGAATAAGCAAATACAACAAGTTACATGTTGAAATATTCTGCTTTCAGAGAATGAAATCATGCCTTGCTTGTGCTAAAAAATCAAAAAGCACATGATTGGTCACGAAGCTGCTTTCTCTTCTGACACAAAGAATCTGAGGTGGCGACGCAGCTCACCCTGTAGGTATTTGATGCCTCACTGCACCGGGACAGAGCGACAGTGTCCGCCTCTTTGTGCTCTTGCTTCACCAGCATTCTGCCCACTGACAAAACGGGTCACTGTGTGCAGCTTTGGAGCACCCTCACTTATCGTGTAAAGCTCTACACAAATAAACGTGCATCGCCTTGCCTCACCGGCAACAATCCTGTGTCCAAGATAATCTAGAGCCACGCTGAGCAGTCACTCGGTTTTGGGTGTAAACAAAAGTGAAAATGAGGGTATTCACTGACAGGAAAGGTTGCYTATCATGTTGTGTATCAATGTAACATCTGCAAACCGATTCAAAACGTTCCCCATCGTCCCATCAATAACTTTAACAGCTCAAGACTCTAATATTGGAACTTTACAGCTGAGGAGGTCAGAGGCAGAAGATGGAAATGGGGAAGGGTGGTTTGTTGTTATGTTTGGAACGGGAGGTGGGGTGGTGTGGGGGGGGGGGGTGTTGGGTCAGGGACTGCAGCACACAGACGTCTGGAAACAGTTAAGGATGGATCACAGGCCTGAACGCATGAGGGTGGGAAAGAAAAAGAGGGCGGAAGTGCGAGTCTTGGGAAGAGCGAGGGTGGAGGAGGAAGAGAGTGAGCCAGCGAGAAAAAAATGTGAAATGTTGCTTAAGAAATCTTGTACCARTTAACTTTTTTTTTTGCTCCACTGGATTTAAACTTTACAACCTCTATTTTAAGACTCAGTACTATTTTAGGTTATTGTGTAATAAAAACCGCGTGTTGGAATATATTCAACTTTTTATCTCAAACCTAATTTTCATTCATAAGTGAAGTCATTTMTGATGACCCTCTTAAAGCGACAGCTCAGAGATTTTTGAAGTTGGGTACTGCAGAAAGAGCATGAACAATTATCATCTCACCTGTTGTAGATAGCTTTATGAATGACTTATTTTTAAAGAAACAAAGTTAAATTCTGACAGGATTAGCTCACTAACAGATAATCTGAGCCAAATATCAAATATGTTGTATCTAGAGCTTTGACTGGAACCTGGAAGTTGAAGCCAAAACAGGACCAGCTTCCCTGTAGAGTGGTTCCAGTACAAGTGTTAGGTAGTGGTGTCCCAACATCAATATCGGTACTAATCCCAGCATTTTTACAAGTATTTTTACTTGTTCAAAATGCCTCGATACTAGGGACCTGTATCGATACCAGATTCAATACTTCTTTATTATTTTTAAAATGTTGCAACAGTACATATATCCTGGTTTAAATTGGATTTCTTCCAGTCAGAAGGGCTGTAGGTCTATATGGAAAGAGGCACATCTTGTTTTAAATAAAAGTCTTTTTAAAGTCATTATGTAATGTTTAAGTTCTAACTCAGTAAGTACTCTTTATCTGTACTCGGAATTGGCAAGTACCCAAACTGAAGTACTCGTACTTGGTTTGAGAAAAACTGCCTCGCCACATAAAAGAACAAAACGTTGCCCTAAATATTTTTTAAGTTGTTGACTTTTGTTGATAAGATAGTTCTTGCTGCTGTATGTTTAAATATTAGTTTTTAAACATGTTTAGCTGTAACTAAATATTTCAAAGGTTTAAAGTGCCTTTAGTCTCCTTTGGGAGAAGTTTGTGTTGGAGAAAATAATATGTTGCACAGAAAACACATTTCATGCTTAGAGGAAAGGRCATGTCATGAGCCTGAAGTCCCTCATCTTTAGACGTTGTTTCAGCATGTTCACAGCAATTGGCCAGTCCTGTGTGTGATTGGATTACTGAAAAACTATATTATTCCTCAAGCTAGTGTGAGTCAGCCGTATTGGATTTTGAGGTCTGGGCTGGTCAAGAATCTCTGATCTTCACCTTGAAACTCAGAAAATCTGACTTCCTTGTACAAAATTAACCACCATAAACCCAAGTTTTCCAAATTGGGGTCAATGAACTGTCTGCAACAGGTAAGATATTATCTTTGCATAACCTCTTCAGGTAACCCTCTTTTAAAAAATCTGAACTATCACTTTAATAATATTTGGTTGTTATGTCTTAAATTATTAGATAGATTAAACTCTTTATTAGTTTTGAGGATTTGTCATAAAATTCAAGCCAGTTATTCAAACCAGAAACATGTGTCCCTAAATTAACAGATTTGGGCCCTTTTGCTCAAAGAACACAAACAGCTCAAAGGTTTCGAACAGCTCCAAGATCACAACTGACCCATTTCCTCCTCCGCCTCCTGGTTCTAATAAAAAGGAGGTTAAGTAAGAACAGATAGACAGATGGAGGGGAGCTTTTTTCTCTCTGTTTTGCTGATGTTACAAGTGAAACTTTTCACATATGAAAGARAATTCACGCTGCACGCACATGCTGAGCAGTGCGTGCACAGGCAACGTAGTTGTATCCCAGCCAAAATGTCCCCTTCTCAAAACACACACTCACACATGCACGCACGCACACACACACACACACACACACACACACACACA